GGATTATTATTGCAATAACAACATTTTTGTTGCACTCTGAGATTCACAAATGTTGGAATATTTTTAATACATTACAACCAACCTGTCTGATTTCTTCAAATAGTAGACTACTGACCCAGACTACCAACACATACTCAGCAATAGACATCTCTGGATTGAAACTAACAAGCATGATGTAACTGAACAGTACTAAGAAAACAATGTATGAAAACTGAAATAAAGAAAACATGCCAATGTCAAGGGTGGATAAAATGAAGGGTAGGTAACTAACAAATTGATGATGACAAAAAAATCAGATTAGTTACGTAGACTTGTATACAGGCCCTTGTTTGTTCGTAAAATGTGTAAGATGCTGAAAGCACACAATGATCAGGGGTCAGAGGTAACACACACAAAATTTGATGACTAGTTCACAAATAAAATAAACGGAGAAGAGATTAGAAGTAACTTACGACATTGTAAAAAAATGTCACGACTGGGGCATTGAAGAAATATTTGAATTTGTCGTAACTTGTTAAACGACGCTTCGCACGAATATCAATTCCTTCTTCAGTGTGTACAAATTCTACCGTCGGCTCTTCATCGGTAGTACTCAGTAAACTAAAAAATAATAAGACAATAGTTTTGAGTTAAAGCACCATCAGTTGGTTTTCGTGTATAAATAGGGGGTTCATTTCTAGCTCATGCCATTTTTTCACTGGTTTTTCAAATTTGTCTGCACTTTTATTCTTTTATTCTTCAATAATTTTGGAAATAAACCCTTATTTAGGAGCCAACCAACAAAATTTGAGTCATTTTCAATTTTTACTAAAAAAATATGACTATTTTTGTCCCAATTTTCTGAAGAAAGGACTATTTTGTGAATTCGTGATAAAAAGACGGAACGGATGATGAAATGTTTAACTGTACATACAACTCACCTTTTTTTACTACTTGCCATGTCTTTGTGAATACTGACCATATTTAGACTCTGGTTCAATTGATCTCCTGATAAGCCATCCTGTGAATCAACAAAATACTAACAATATTGAGTTATTACAAAAAAAGAAGGAATACATCAAGAAAAACTGGAAAGGAGAAATGAACTTGCAAATGTCTTCACAAAATGAACAAATCTGACAAAGGTCCACCCAAGATAGCTACATATTACCGGTATGTATTAAAGCAATTTAGTTGGTAGTTTTCAAGAATAAGTAAAAAAATAACATTTTTTACCCAAAATGACAAAAATGCTTGTTAAAAATACAGAATTGAAGATAATGTCATGAAATAAACAAATCTGACAGATGACCACCCAAGGTACATACATACCGAGTACCAAAGAAATTGAGGTAGTAGTTTTCAACAAAACGATTAAAATGTAATTAATGGCTGTTGAAACATTTGAGTCTGAAGTACATAAAAAGTCAGCAAAAAAAAACAAGTAATTCTGATTTACATGTACCTCTATTGGAGATGCACTTACAAGAGAACAAACACAGTACAGACACTTTGTTACTTTATATGCTGTATCCATATTAATGTTCTGTATTCAAGAATTGCTAACCAGTAAATTATCGTAAACTTAAAAGTTTAAATAACTACACTAAATCTAGGCTGTATTTCATCTACTATCTCAAAATCTTTGCACATTAAAACTTGGTAGCAGCAGTTGGTAGTATCAGAATAAATAATAACAGAATGAAAAAGTAAAACCTGTATACAGAAAAATTCAATGCCTTGTTATAATAAAAAAAAAATTACCTTGTTGTTTTTAGTAACAGTGACATTATCTATTTCTTCTTCTGGCTCCCGAAATTTCAGTAAACAATACAAAAATGGCGGAAAGACTAAACAACAGAATAGCTACAAAAAAAAAATATATAAATATCTTTTGTTTAACACATACCATAAAGTTTTTCATTAATTTTAAACATTAAAATGGCCGCCATTCAGCCATCTTGAATCAGATTGTAAAATTATTGGACATGCGTAGGTATCCAAAGATTTATGCGTCCAAGCAGGAACTAAAATGTTCTGTTTCTCGTCAGCAGCGAAAAAAAAAGTATTATTTTCATTTATTTTGCCACTGCACAGTGCCTCTGTTGACAAATTGATGAAACCTGCAAAATTATTGCCCGTCAAATATTTCAACAAATTTTCCAATTCGACCAGAATCATTGTTATTTTTTTGGCAAGGACAAATTGAGAGAGGAGAGAAACAGAAAACTTTCAGCTGATGATAACTAACCCTTAGTGTGGTGGTATGTTCTCTGTCCAGTTTACCATACCATATTATACTGAAGAGGTTTTGCACGGCCGTATGTGCAACAAAGTTTTTATCATCGGCA